TAACCAGAGTGCTGTGGTCACTACCTCAGGTGGCCAAATTCAGCAGTCCCATTACTTTACAGTATTTTCTTACAGGCATATATATGGAAAGTTAACTTTTACGGGTATGGAAAGAGTGGGGGGGAACACGTGCAAATTATTAGTACGCTGATATTATCCTTCAAAAACATCATATGTACAACAATCACTTAAAATTATGGCATTACAAAAAGGCCATATTTCCAGACAGCAGACCATAACCTTTGGCTGGAGTTCCAAATAATTTGACACCGAAAGCCTGTCAGTTAACGCAAAGGAAATAACCCTTGTGCTTTAAAGTGATAGTCACAATGAAGTGTAGGTTGCCATGCATTTTATAGTCTGTCTCACAGTCCCTGAACCACATTATTTTCCTTACTGTTTAGTCTGTCTCACAGTCCCTGAACCACAGTATTTTCCTTACTGCTTAGTCTGTCTCACAGTCCCTAAACCACATTATTTTCCTTACTGTTTAGTCTGTCTCACAGTCCCTGAACCACATTATTTCCCCTACTGCCAAGCCCTCTCTGCAATGCTAAAGCCTTAAATGAAGCAAGTCTAGATCTCCTCAGGTCCAGGGTCTGTTAACATCTGCAAGAAACCTAACTCACTATGGGGGTCGGGTTACAAAGTAAACATATCTATAGCTAACTGCCATGGCTCGCCGGACTGAATCTCGTGTCTCCCTCAATTTAAATGGGCTTGTTTGTTACTATCAAAATTATATATACATGTATTCAGACACTAAGCGTTAGTCTATGTATTTTCCGATATGATGGAAATACTAATATTGACCAGATAAAATTCTAAAGGAGCCCTTCTTCAAGCAGTGACTTAACGCCATCCATAGCTAGACTTGCTTAGATGATAGACTTCATATAAGGCATCACAGATATTTCACAAACATGGTACAGGACCCTTAGCCTCATTAGCTTATTGCCTCACCACTTGCGAATTAAGCGTTTGCAGATGTAAATGTTACTGGAGATGTTGGTCCCGCCAGCTGTGGGTGTTTGGTATAGCTCTCCATAACCCGAACCCTGCAGTCAGTTTTCCTAGAGACGGAAGGGGAGAAAATATCGTTCTGTGACTATGGAAAACCAAAATTGTGGACAACACACCATTGTTTGGGTCTTTTAATTGTAAATATGATTCAAATAGCTTAACCTAGATTTCGATATCCTCCGAATGTACATTTGGTGGAAAATATACATTTATCCAGAGCCAAGGACGAATGTTTATATATAATTAAAAAATGTAACAGCACTAGTATCCATTTTGTCTTTTGTCTTCTACCCGTCAGAACTAGATTAACAACTAGTCTCTGATATGAACATATTTTACAGAAAAAACGTTGATAGTAAAAAAAAATATTATATGAGGAAAAGGAACCCTGAGACTTTCTCCTGAAGCTGTGGAAATCTAGACTTGCCACATTTTGTAGACTTGCGTGGGCTTGGATATATTTGCTTCAGGGTCTGTATGACAGACGACGTCCCAACACACGCTCAATCACATGTGTCTCCAGGTCACGGAGAATCAGTGGTTAGAGGCCCGTATTGCAATTCTCGTGCGTTTGCCAGGCACGTAGCAAGCCAATTTTTTCGTGTAAGACCTATGGGCTGCAAAGCCTTATATTTAGGTGGTATTGAGCTCTTTCCCAACTTTCACTTTTTATGAGACCTGAAGAGTTATCGTTTGACGTTTGATGATTTCAATAGCTTCAAAATATTGTGGAAAGACTTCCGCCTGTATCCCCCCTTAAATTTCATTCTAGTCAAATCATATCACCTGAATATATATTCCTCATCCGATAAGGATGAGTTTTAACGTGTTTTGTTTTTTTAATCTGAACATACTGAAAGACATATAAATGCCACTCAAAGAAAGTTTTCCTCATCGTTACAATTTAAGGGTGGGTGGATGGGTGGGTGTGTCTTACCACCATGGAAATTCAAGTGTGATTTCCTCATAAACAAATATGTTTGGACATATTTTATACATGTCAGCTGCATTGATACAGTACCATACATCGAGTATTTGGTGTTTTTTCTAAAATAATTGATAAACAAATGATAAATAAACAACTGCATTTCAGTGATGGTTCACATATAATCATGACTGTAACAAAACATCCTCATACATGTCGATGGAAAAACAATCATCACTGAAAGCTATGATATGAAGAATAACCTGTTTACTGTACATGGTAATGCTTTAATCAAAGAACATTGTAGTCAGTATGATACATAGAGGGATTTCCACTTTTTAAATGGAACGTGTTTGTAGGTATTTTTGGCAAGAATTAGAAGAAAAATTATTTTTTAGCAAAGATCATGTGTATGCTCGAGCTGTTTTTTTATAATGGTAGCTACGCCCCTGTTTGCATGTGTTGTTGACGCGGCATGGACTCCATGTAACATCACTATTTGATTATGATTCACAAACACATGCCCATGATATGGTCGGAATCGTGCCACGGATTAGCAGATACTTATCATGAAAACAGGTTTTTATGTAGGTGGCTTGAAACTCGCTTTTACAAAGGCCTATAGGTTCGATCACAATACATTTCGTTTTACAGCTTTTCTTTTCTTAACATGCTCATGTCAAAACTGATTTAAATTCTAATCACAGATTAAAGAATAACACAATAAATAGTATGCCAAATTATCGTTACCATGACAACCCTGTGATATTTCAACTTATGTAAGAGAGTAATGCAGATGATACTGTCGGCTGTAAATTTTGATAAGTTGCTTCATCGCTATCAATAAACACTGGGTATCTATACAATTATATGTGTGATCAAAGGCCATATGATAGATTATGTGGTCCCTGGTGTGATGGAGGAGAACTTGCGTCGCTAGTTTTCTCGATAATCTGAACACATGTATGTAGCGTGAAACCGGCAGATACTTTAGAAGAAAGTGTTTGCCCTACCTGTAACAACGATGTCCCGTGTCTATAAAAGGGATATAATATAACTTTTATCTTGGCCCGTTAATGATGATACATACTGCGATCTTTCACAATAATCCCTCTGGCTATCAGATTGAAGGTACGTTTTAAACATAACCGGTATTTCTATTATTGTATTTATAAAGTTCTTCGAACGTTCTCCATATACGTCCGTCATATACATCGCGCACTACCCTTTTCTCTTTTGATCTTCTCAAACGACTGTTACAAGTTCGAAGAATCCTGGTCAAAGTAGAAAAGTCTTAAGACTATTCCCTACAATTCTGTAACTCACACATTGTACCCTAAATGGGTAGAGCTTTCGTTCGGGGGAATATCAGGACAACGATACAGTTATTTCTAATGTTGTAGAAAGATCTCCACTTACTTAGGAAAACATTGAGATATTGTATTCATGTCGGAATGATATTTTCAGCCCCTGTCAGATCAGAACTTGAACATGCGATGTCCGCGTCTGTGTCAGACTAAAGGCCTATAAGATGTTTAGCAACACTGGGGCGTAATAGCCATAGATCTTCTCCAAACAAGGGAATATACATCTTGTGAGAATGACTTCTTCGACAGGGAAATTTACAGCAATGCGACATCACAATTACTTACGTGATATTTACTCGCAATCTGAGTTATGGATCGTCAATTTAAACAGGACAATACAGACGAATTTCACAAAAGGCACGGAGATCCAACATGTCTATGATATACTCAGAGAACGCACCCGCCTGTGCTATCCGGTCATAATCGCTACTCGATAAAAACAATTTTTCATTTCATGTCTCACAGAATATATAATTTGATATGACATTGTTTCTTAGTGTATACTTTTGCGTTAGTGAAACAAACTTTAAAGTTTATGTATGGCGTTATTACAGCAAAGGCTGAGCGAATGGAGAAATAACATGGTTCAGGCACTGTGAGACTATTAAGAAGGTCACATGCAGTGCAATAATATTCCAATTATGTACTGCCACAAAATATTTTACAGTAGATGCGCGAGCTGAACAGACTTAAGAAATTACGAGTTGGTTCGTGTAGCATATTTGACTGTGCTCCAAGAGAGACAAAGTGCTATTCTTTTGGGGCAGCTAGGGACGCTTGCGAGGACAAAGGGGCAACGCATCGCCCTTTGTTCACCACTGAACCTTTCAATCCCTCGAAACATGCACCTCACAAGATTTGCCAACACCACAGACAAGGCGTAACTGATACTGGTAGCAAGAGCGAGTGCAGATTAATAAGGCGTGTTAGCTTGCGTAATACCGCTTTCTTTGTCAGGCTCTTTGGTGATAAGAATATTGAGGTCATGTGAACGTTGATTTCAAACGTACTAAAATGTGTGAAAGTGAAATTACATGAGCCAAGTAATTCACATGATGGAAACATATGATCATCTTGCTTGAGTACAGGTAACATGATGGTGTATGAACCGTTCATATACATACCCCTGAAATCCGGTATGATACATAAATATCTAAGGTGTGTCAACATTTGCAAATTTGAAAATTTACATGTCTTTCCCCACCTAAGTAAATTCACATGTTTCCAACCCGAGTAAACTTAGAACGAAATCGGAAATTTCAGCACCCATTGAAATTCAAAGGAATGCATTGGAAATACTGCATGATCATGTATTTACCGGGGTATCTGTTTTGCAATTCATATTTGGAAATCCCTGACAATCCGGTCAGGGCATACATGAACGAGGTGCTTGTGCATACGAAAATGTACGATGAGCATATGTTTCAAAGGTATAGATTCATATGAAATATATGCCCGAAGTTAGGAAATATCTGAAAACATACGTAAACCCGGTCATGGCATGTATTTCCTACTGTATTTACGTTTATTTCAATGGTTTACTATCCGGTTTTTTGGTGCTGTGACTGGGTCTGGTGTTGCTGCTGAAATAGATTGACACAATTCAATACTTTTAAGAACAAATACTCTTAGGGCGGTTTACACAATGTAGTACAAGGCAATGTAGATCATAATCTGACACCTACCTTTACCAGACATCGTGACAATCAGCTCAGCCTTGTCGATAGCAGCCGATATAAGCCGAGCCCCTGGCAGATGACAGCTGTGACGCGTGGAACTATTTTTAGCACGCTGGGTATTTCCTGCTATTCCCTCGAATCTTGGTTTTCTTGGAAAAAAGGCTTGAGCGTGGTACTGAATCGACGCAAGCTGTCTCTCGCTTAGGTTCAGGGTCATGTTGGTTCATCGTTTGGCAAGATATTATTTTTCACCACGTAATTGTTTGTTTGTTGTTTAACGCCGCACTCAGCAATATACCAGCTACATGGTTGCGGTCTATAAATAATCGAGTCTGGACAAGTAAACTCAGTGATCAATATCATAAGCATCGATCTAAATAGTTGGGGTAAGTTGTTTAGAAGCCGCAGCTATATTCCATGCGTGGGTTGCTAAAGACCAATTCTAACCCGGATCTTCACGGGTACTATGTCCCTGGGGTGAATTTACATTCCCAAATATAATTTAAGGCTGTAATGACGCTGAGGATGAATTCTGAACATAAGATCCGCTGATGCTGAGTTCGAATCCTAGGTTCAACTCGATCGTAATACACCACAAGCTATTTGTATGTTTCATTTTTGTAGTGGTGAAAACGAAAATGGCCCGTGAAGGTCCGGGTTAGAATTTGTCTTCATCAACCCATGCTAGTCTTAAGAGAGATCGGAAGGTTAGGCTCGCTGATTTGGTTTAGTGAGTAAGTGAGTTCATTTTTACGCCGCTTTCAGCAATATTCCAGCAATATCGCGGCAGGGGGAAACAAATTGGCTTGACACATTGTACCCATATGGGGAAACCCAGGTTTTCAGCCACTTTATTTTTGTAGTAAATGTTAAGCCGAAAAATGTGTTGAAATGGGCTTGGAACCAAAAATACTCACTCCCTGACTATCGACTGCAGTAACAGCCTTATGTTCAGTTATGAGTGAGTGAGTGAGTTTAGTTTTACGCCGCACTCAACAATATTCCAGCTATATGGCGGCGGTCTGTAAATAATCGAGCCTGGACCTGACAATCCAGTGATCAACAGCATGAGCATCGATCTGCGCATTTGGGAACTGATGACATGTGTCAGCGAGCCTGACCGCCCGATCCCGTTAGTCGCCTCTCACGACAAGCATAGGTTGCTGAAGGCTTATTCTAATCCGGACTTTCACGGGGAGACAAGCATGGGTTACTGAAGGCTCATTCTAACCCGGGCCCTTAACGGGGAGACAAGCATATTTTGCTGAAGGCTCATTCTAACCCGGACCTTCACGGGGAGACAAGAATGGGTTGCTGAAGGCTCATTCTAACCCACACCTTCACGGGGAGACTAGAATGGGTTACTGAAGGCCCATTCTAACCCGGACCTTCACGGGGTGACAAGCATGGATTGCTGAAGGCTCATTCGAACCCGGACCTTCACAGGGAGAAAAGCATGGGTTGCTGAAGGCTCATTCTAACCCGGACCTTCACGGGGAGACAAGCATGGGTTGCTGAAGGCTCATTCGAACCCGGACCTTCACGGGGAGACAAGAATGGGTTGCTGAAGGCTCATTCTAACCCGGAACTTCACGGGGAGACAAGCATGGGTTGCTGAAGGCTCATTCTAACCCGGAACTTCACGGGGAGACAAGAATGGGTTACTGAAGGCTCATTCTAACCCACACCTTCACGGGGAGACAAGCATGGGTTACTGAAGGCTCATTCTAACCCACACCTTCACGGGGAGACAAGCATGGGTTACTGAAGGCTCATTCTAACCCACACCTTCACGGGGAGACAAGCATGGGTTACTGAAGGCTCATTCTAACCCACACCTTCACGGGGAGACAAGCATGGGTTACTGAAGGCTCATTCTAACCCGGAACTTCACGGGGAGACAAGAATGGGTTACTGAAGGCTCATTCTAACCCGGAACTTCACGGGGAGACAAGCATGGGTTACTGAAGGCTCATTCTAACCCACACCTTCACGGGGAGACAAGCATGGGTTACTGAAGGCTCATTCTAACCCGGAACTTCACGGGGAGACAAGAATGGGTTACTGAAGGCCCATTCTAACCCGGAACTTCACGGGGAGACAAGAATGGGTTGCTGAAGGCTCATTCTATCCCGGACCGTCACGGGGAGACAAGCATGGGCTACTGAAGGCTCATTCTATCCCGGACTTTCACGGGTTTGTTCAGTTATGAGTCTTGATATAACAAACATAAAACGAACATATAAATTAAAATTCAGTTTTATTATGATGCTTTAAGCAAAACACATCCTGACATGCTGGTTAAAATCTGGTCACTGAGTCAATGATAACACATCAACTCTTATTGGTTTGGTCAGCATATTGAGATCGGATGCATCTGGGTGGTGCGTTGAAGCTTTGACATTTACAATGCTAAGACGATGATGTCTTCGAGGAGCCGCCGCCTCCACCGCCTCCGCTAGGTGCAGCAGTTTTCAAACGTGGCGCTAAAAATCGAAATAAAATACCATCACATACAGTCATACATCGGTTGTGTCGAACTAGCGGCTGTGGTGAAGTTAAAACTTGGTGCTGCGTATTCATTATTAAGTCATCATAATGAGGAAATGTCGTACTTCAGATACTGGAAGTATTTACGTGAGTCCCTTCAACTTCGATATGTTACAGGGAATGTATGAAACCGGGGATTTCACGTAATCCCTGAAAGAGTCAGTGATTTCATGAAATCCCTGTGACCCCAAGGGATTTCACATATTCCCTAAAATTTCAAGGGATTTCATGAAATTACTGATGTCATGTTGTTCCATTACACACATTCCCTGTTATGATATCAGTGAATGTGTGAAATTAATGTTTGTAGCTTAAATGGACACTGATCCAGAGCTATTCTCCGGGAATAGTTGTTGCTTTTGTTATTGGGTTTCCCCTGCAATTACCCAGATGATATCCCAGAATTCTTGATTGGGTGGAATCTCTGTTGCACAACATGCAAGCGCAATTGATAGTATAAGTATAATATGTATATCCTACATTGATCAACAAAGATGAAATCTGTTTTATTCATTAAAAATATTTTCATCTTCATTATTATGGTAACAAATAAACACAATTCGACGTTTATATGCCAGTGACACAAAATGTTAGGACTGAAAAAGAACTAAGTCAATGAATGTCTTTATAGTTTTGTCTTATAATCCTAATGTATTTATCATTATATTTTTATGCATTTTTTAAACTGCATGAAAAGTAAACAATCTGTTCTAATGAATATAAAAGGACTGTAATACCTTTACATTTTATACATTGCCAACGTGGATCATATTTGACACACATGACCTAAGTGCGACCTAGTGTATGTTGTCTGTCTCATCGAAACAAAACAGCTAAAAAAATGAAGTGGAATGATTCTGCTGAATGCTACAAAATATTAATAATAACAAAATACATATATTTGAAGGAAGGACGTTGTTGTTACACAGGCCCTTTACGACACAATACATTCATCAATCAGTGTGTTATCGGTTAATCCTTTGATCGATTTGTTTTAAACCCATCTGATGATTCCTCTTGCTGCACTTCCAAGCGCATATTACATAACATGTAAACACTTGTCACATCAGACAAAACAATTAATAACGGTTAATGAGTTATTCACGGCCCTGTATTTGTCTGTACTCTGTAATGTATAATAAACAAAGTGTAATGCAAATGAGTTGCGCAACAGAGCAAAATGACCAGTCTTCCTCATACGCGCGAAGCATTTTGCTATGTTGCTTAACTCAGTTGCATTACAGTTTGCAGGTCTGTACAACCCCTGGTTTCACACATTCCTGTAACAGATGTAATGCTTTTCGATTGTACATAGATTTAGAAAATATGACAGCTGTCATTGCTGTTTACTATTGATGTTGAGATCCATGAATGTCCGGGTTAGAATGAACCTTCAGTAACCCATGCTTGTCGTAAGAGGCGACTAACGGGATCGGGTGGTCAGGCTCGCTGACTTGGTTGACAAATGTCATTGGTTCCCAATTGCGCTGATCGATGCTCATGATGTTGATTACTGGATTGTCTGGTCCAGGCTCGATTATTTACAGACTTCCGGCATATAGCTGGAATATTGCTGGAGTGCGGCGTAAAACTAAACTCACTCACTCACTACTATTGATGTTGAATATACACCATTCGTGACCCACTCCGTGTTATTCGGGACAAGCTGAATAGGTTACGGAAAGGGCGAGTGGTGACGAATGGTTCTATCTGGTGGCTGCCGTGGAGGTGGTCGTTGTGGTTGTGGTCGTGGAGGAGGCCGATTGCTTGTTTCCTTTGGTTTCTGGAACATAAAGGTTACTGGTCAGATTGTTTTATTATTATAAACAACAGCATTACACATGTGCTACTTATTTTGAACATATGATTCATATACACTCTTCAAAAGTAAGATAATTCGAGAAAACCTGTGATTACAGAAATTCAAAGCCTATCGAATGATGATTCTAGATGGATAGGAAAATGAAAGGATTAGATTTAATATGTGAGTGAGTATGGTTTTACGCCACTTTAAGCAATATTCGAGCAATATCACGGTCGGGCACACCAGAAATGGGCTTCACACATTGTACCCTTGTGGGGAATCGAACCCAGGTCTTCGGAGCAACGAGCGAACGCTTTAACCACTAGGCTACCCTACCACTCCGGGTGAAAGACGCGCCGTGTTGAAGAACTACAAATATCGATAAACAAAAACAGAGTCGTGTATTCAAAATAGATGTTTGGGATCCCTGGATTAAAGAGGCACGTCTCCATGACGAGACTCAAAGGAGCGTGGCTAATACACATCAGGTTATAATCAGAGTCAGGTGATGTGAGGTGAAATTGGGTTAAAAGTCACTGATCATCCCGTAACGACATATGACCCGTGAAGATCCGGGTTAGAATTGATCTTCAGCAACCCATGCTTGTCGTAAGAGGCGACAAACGGGCTCACTGACTTGGTTGACACATATCCTCGTGTCCCAATTGTGTAGATTGATGCTCATGCTGTTGATCACTGGATTGTCTGGTCAAGATTCGATTATTTACAGACTGCCGCCGTATAGCTAGAA